ATGGGTGTAGTGGCGAGAGAAAAGTATATTAACAGCATAGTGGAGTTTAAAACTGTATCTGACAGAATAACGACAATGAACTTGGGTACTGAAGGGGTGCTACTGAATGTGATCAGTCTGTATGCCTTACAAGTAGGATGCGAGTTGGAGGAGAAGGAAGAATTCTGTAACGAAGTAAAGGCAGTGGTTCAGAAAAGGATAGTTATGGGAAGGGAAAGCAGTGACCATGTCGGAGAAGGAAATAATGAGCATGTGATTGGCAGATACGGGGAGGGAGAAAGAATCCTGGAAGGACATTTGGTTATAGACTTTGCTAAACGGATGGAAATGGCAGTATCAAACGCCTATTTTAAGAAAAGAGAAGGACTCAAAGTAACTTACATGAGTGGGAATAGGGGTACAGATAGATTTTATTATGTGTAGGAGATGTGAGCTGAAATAAAATATTGTAAAGTTCCTTGAGAGCGTGTAGCAAAAATTGAAGTCGAGGAGGAATTTTAGAATGGAACCAAAGATCAAATTGAGGAATTCAAAAGAAGAGGATAGGAAGGATGAGGTTAGGCAGGTTTTGGCAGAGAGGGAAGATATCGATTGAGCAGAGATCTCAGATACGGTGAGAGAGAAAGCACATGATGTATTTTACATGATATCTGGGCGAAGGAAAGAAAACAAAGAGACTTGGTGTTGGAATGAAAAGAAAATGCAGGATAGCATAAAAAGGAAGAAAGGCGCGAAAAAGAAATATTACAGACAAGGGGACGGAATACAAATATATGTGCAGCAGAGCAAAGCAATTGCAAAGGCAAAAGAAAAGGCTTCTGAGAAGTTATACGAGACGTTAGACACTGAGGAAGGGGAGAAAGACTGCCAGACAAAGGGACAGCTATAGAAGAAATGTGAATGTAAAAATGATAAAGGATATAGATGGAAACATTTTGACAGGTGAGGAGGAATTTATGAACGTCGAAAAAGACAAGAGAAAGAAGGCTGAAGGACAGAGAAGTAGGAAATCAAGATGCACAAGAGATCGGCAGAGAGAAGGTAAGGAAGGCCACGAGAAAGATGTGTCTTTATAGACCTAGAAAAAGCTTATGGAAGAGTTCCTGGATACATGAATTATGGTATTGTACGAGAAAGTCATGAACGTGGTGTAGATGTATGTGAAGAAAGCATAACTTCAGTAAGGTGTGTGACAGGAACACCGGAAGGCTTTAGGGTAAAAGTAGGTTTGCACTAAGGATCATCTCTGAGACCTATCATGTTTGCTTTAGTGTGTGTGTGTGTGTGTGTGTGTGTGTGTGTGTGTGTGTGTGTGTGTGTGTGTGTGTGTGTGTGTGTGTGTGTGTGTGTGTGTGTGTGTGTGTGTGTGATCGACTGACTGTTGGGATAGGGAAAGAGTCCCCATAGACTATGATGTTTGCAGATAATGTGGTGTTATACTGCCGGGAAGAAGCCTAGACACAAGAGATATTCATTTGAGAAGATGGGTATGAAAGTGGATAGAACCAAGACTGAGTACCTATGCCATAATGGTGATGGCGAAGATACGATTAGGCTGCGAGGGATAGATATAGCGGAAGTTGATGAGCTCAGGGATTTTTTGTCGATTGTCCAGAGAAATAGAAATTATGGAAGAAAAGTAAAGAAAAGAGTGCAGGCTGGATAAAATGGATGGAGAAAGATCACAGGAGTGACATGCAATAGAAGGGTGTCTGCAAGGACTAAAGGAAAAGTATTCATGACTGTGACGAGGCCGATTATGCTGTATGGTATGGAGACAAAATTGACAAAATAACAAGAAGCTGAATGTCATTGAATTGAAAATATTGAGTGTTCTTTAGCAATGACGAGAATGGACAAAGTGAAAAATAAATACATCAGAGGGACGATGTATGTGCGCAGGTTTATTGACAAGGCAAGAGAGGCAAGACTGAGGTGGTTTGAGCACGTCAAGAGAAGGGACAAGGAACACGCGGGGAAGAGGATGCTCGAAATGGAACTGTCGGGAAGGAGAAAAAGAGGGAGGCCGAAGAGAAGGTTCTAAGACGCAGTCGAGGTAGACATGCAGGCGGTGGGCGTGAATGAAGCGTGCGACAAGATCGAGCGCTGGAGAAGGAAGGTCCGCTGTGGCGACACACACACACACACACACACACACACACACACACACACACACACACACACACACACACACACACACACACACACACACACACATACACACACACACACACACACGCACACACACACACACACACAGATATATATATATGTGTGTGTGTGTGTGTGTGTGTGTATGTGTGTGTTATGTGTGTGTATGTGTGCGTGTGCATGAACATATCTGTCTGTCTCCCTATATATATACATATGTATATGTATATATGTGCCTATAACCAGTTATCTTCCATGGCATTCCTCATTGTCTGGGCCCTTCTTTAAGGACGAGTCTCGGCCCAAAAGTTTTCCTACGTGACATTCCTTCGGCAAGCCAGTCAGCCTGACTCGTTTGTTCTGACATGAAGTTCTGCCGGGGAGAGAGAGGAGAGGAGATATCATGAAATGGGAAAACAAAGAGAAAAGGAATAGGTGAATGGAGAGGGAAGAGGAGCAGAATGATAAAAAGGAATTGAGGAAATGAGAATAAGAAAGGTCAAGGGACATAAACTGCAAAATCTTTTCCCGCAACACAATAATCAGCCAACTTAATACTATGAATAATATGAATAACTAAGCCAGACCCTCCAACAGAAAATCATTACACCTTTAGTCTCCGTATCTACTTCTTTCCTTCGCTTGGGACAATTGACGGGTATTTTTCTTCTCCACCGTTCACTCTCCTGCTTGTTATTGTCTGCTTCCTCTCCTCCCTCTGCTCCTCCCTGCGATCATTACTTTCTCTCTCTTCCTTTGTCTTTGGAAACTCTTTGAAAATCCTATGCCAGTGTGGAAGGGATTTTTAAAACTTTATAGAGGGACGAAATCAAGGTGAGACAGACAGACAGACACAGGTAAAGACAGATATAGAAACACACAGACAATGTCCTTTATAGTGATATATATAGTATTAATACATATTTATTCATCGAGGGCTGTATCATCTTATAGGACATCGGTCATACTGTAGACTTACAGACTGCCAAAGAAAGCAGGTTTTCGTATATGTGCAGATATACATAATATAGGTACACGCATACAGTCAACACGCAACATCCTAACAGTCAAATAAAAAAGATCATTATGATCTAATGGAGAAAAATATTTTATAATTTCTCAAATGTGATGTAATAACAGCCCAAGCAATGAAAAGTCTGTGAATAAAATAGGCCATTTTCTTTCTAAAGCGGAGGGTCATCCCTTTAAAGGAAAAAATAATAACAATATCAGTAATTAAAGTCATAATTCATGGGAAAAGTATTTCATATAACGTGCGTGTTCGGTGAAGTGCTCTCTCTCTCTCTCTCTCCCTCTCTCTCTCTCTCTCTCTCTCTCTCTCTCTCTCTCTCTCTCTCTCTCTCTCTCTCTCTCTCTCTCTCTCTCTCTCTCTCTCTCTCTCTCTCTCTCTCTCTCTCTCTCTCTCTCTCTCTCTCTCTCTCTCTCTCTCTCTCTCTCTCTCTCTCTCTCTCTCTCTCTCTCTCTCTCTCTCTCTCTCTCTCTCTCTCTCTCTCTCTCTCTCTCTCTTCCTACGGAGTGATCGATCATCTACTGACCACAGCTTGAGTGAGATTACTTTCATTAACCGAACAGCTTTGCGTTCTGAATGGGACGCTTGTCAAGTGGAGTTTTTGTTTATACAGAATATTGTAAAGTGGGTGCCTGTAGTCAAGGGTATATTTTACATAATGCATGGTACATAGTATATCATGTAAAGAATATAGTATATAATGTATAGTATATAGTATATAATGTATATTATATAGTATGTAATATGTATCTCTCCATATGAAGGACTCATGTTATTAATTTTATGTGAATATGTGTGTGCGTGTGTGTATGTGTGTGTGTGTGTGTGTGTGTGTGTGTGTGTGTGTGTGTGTGTGTGTGTGTCTGTTTTATCCTTGTTGCTTTACTCTTTTCTTTTATATCTTTGACTCTGCCACTTGCCTGAATTCCTTAAGGATCCCTGGGCCATCTTTCTGCCTTTTTTCCAGTTCAGTGGATACTTGCCAACCTCCTTGTCGAGGCATCAAGGACAGAGTCTCCTTACAAAGATGAGGATCAACTTCTTTCTTCCTTCTTTTCTTAAGCATTTTTTGTGCGTTTTCTTAGTCTATTTTTCTTTGTTTCCTTTATGATGGTCGAGTGTGCTACAAGTCTACTGCACGCGGCAGATTGAAGAGACATTTTTAAAACGCTGAATTAAGGGGGGGTGAAAAGCCAGTCAGGGAAGCTTTGGGTATTCAGATGTCGGTCATGATGTAGACACACACGAACACGCACATATGTGTGTGCATGTGTGTGCATACATGCAGTGAAATATACTCCTACACACACACACACACACACACAAACACACACACAAAAAAAACAAAACAAAAAACAAACACACACTTACACACGCATACAAGAAAATCACACACACAAACACACACAAACACACACACACACACACACACACACACACACACACACACACACACACACACACACACAAATATATACATATATACATATATACATTTCTCTAATTTCTATTCCCCTTTCCTCTGCCTCCCTCTTTCCCTCCGCATTCGTTTATTTACATTTTCCTCCTCCCCCTGACAAGCCTGCGCCTCCCTCCTATACTCCCGAGACCTCCAGCAGGGAAAAGTCTCCGGCCAAAGTTTTCCTGCGTGACATTTCGATGACCCGGCCAAGGCAGTCAGTCTGACTCGTTTCCGCTGGCGAGGAGTGCCGGCTTTGCAAGGGCGACTGTGGAGGAGGAGGAGGAGGAGGAGGAGGAGGAGGAGGAGGAGGGCGCGAGTGCAACGTCGATTTCTCACGTTGGCCATAATATTACTGTT